CAGCTTCTGTACATCAAAACAATGAAGTGAAGCTTTCATTTTACCTATAAGGGAAATGCTTTCAGCATTATAAGGGATAATGGCACAACAATAACAACAAAAGTTAGTACAGTCATAGATCAGAATCAAATAATAGAAATGTTTCATCCTCTTGATGTACAAAGAGTAATATATCCAAATTAATTGTCTTGTGATCTGATGGTGTAACTTGGCAATTAGATAATTTTGAGATCTCTGTTCAACATAATAGTAACCTATGTTTTGGTTCGGCCAGGTAACTTTTAAAAAGTATCTGTAGTAGTCTTTATGTCATGTCAGAATATGGTAGAAATATAGAAAATATGTCCTATTGCATTTCATAACTTGTCAGATCTGCCATCTTCAGCTTTGCTGGCATCCTCTCATAACTTGTTGTGGGAGGGAGGAAGGAGACAATTGGCATGTGAAGAGTAGAGATGAGCAAGGCGGGTAGGTGTGTGTGACAGGTTTGATGGAACTCAGAGGTGTGAGAACTGGCCTATTCCAGTCTTCAAGAACACTAAACCTGGGAAAAGACTGTGAACTGTATGCACCAAACATCTGAGCTGTTCCCTAAACACCTATATAGCATGACATTGGACAGAGACAAGGGGGGGAGGGCCAGGGAGAAGGGGAAAATCTGTAATGCTTTGCATGGGAACTTTAGATCTAGCCTTGCTTTTGCTGCAACCCACTAATCCTTAGTAAAAGAACCTATCACCTCAATCATATGGAGTTGAAGGTCTTTATTTCCTAGGGACCTAGCTGGGGTAGGTCTGACATAACTCTGGAACCCTGGAGATTTGCTCCACCTACTCTTCATGCCTGAGCAGGAGAGAAGTTCCACAGCTGTGGAAGACCAATGACTCTCTTTGGGCAGGAAAGATTACTGACTTCTTTACTCCTTTTCCACTTAGCAATGTTATTGCTATTGCTTTTTAAAATCTTTTATAATAGGGGCATTTGTATATCTGTATGTTGCTAGATAATCTCCTAACTCTGAATTCAGGCATCTCTTGAACTCTGAATGAAATTTAATCTAAATCACGTTATCAGTATGGATGCAGCCCAAAACTGATCATAGATAAATTTGCTGACAGTTACTGACAAGAGCTATTGATAATCTATATGGTGAAGTAAATAAATGAACTATTGAAAGTTCATTTAAAATTATGAGGCAAATGAAGATATCAGGAAAAAATGGGTATTTTGGTTACTGCTAACAAAACCCTCTCCCACTTCCCAAATTAGCACTGAGAATAGTACAGAGCGTTGGCAGGAAACAATATGAAAATTATCCCACCATCTAAAAAGTAGCCATCTTTCTTGTGGCCAAGTCTGCTTACAGCAGATCCATTTGTTGAGTAAGGAACAGGGAGAAAATTGCTTTTCCTTTTGGTTTGCTCCGTGCTGTCAGTGTGATACAGAGAATGCCAAGAGATAAATTGAACTTTTGAGTAGGAAACAACAGAGAAACAGTAGGAACATGTAAACAGAAGAGAATATGGGAACAGTGATTATTTCAGTTGTTTGTATTTGGATTACTGTAATTTATATTTCTTGCATTTTTACAAAACACCAAACATTAAATCAATAATACTGGCTGGGTTTTGCAGTATCACATCAAGCTGTGAATTAACCTACTATATTTTAGAACACAGACCATAGTATAACAGAGTTGGAAGGGACTTTGGAGGTCTTTTAGTCCAACCCCCTGCTTGAACAGGAGACTCTTATACCATTTCAGTCAAATAGCTGTCCAGTCTCTTCTTAAAAGCCTCCAATGATGGAACTCCCACAACTTCTGAAGGCAAGCCCTTCCACTGATTAATTGTTCTCACCATTAGGAAATTTCCCCTTAGTTCTAGGCTGCTTCTGTCCTTGATGAGTTTCTATCCATTGTTTCTTGGCTTGCCTTCTAGTGTTTTGGAAAATAGCTTGACTCCCTCTTCTTTGTGACAGCCCCTCAAATATTGGAACACGGCTATCATATCTCTCCTTGTCCTTTTTACTAGAGATACCCAATTCCTGCAACCATTCTTCACATTTTAGCCTCTATCCCCCTAATAATCTTTGTTGCTCTTCTCTGCAATATTTCCAGAATCACATCTTTTTAATGTTGTGGTGACTAAAATTAGATGTATTCCGAGTATGCCCTTACTAAGGCTTTGTAAAGCAATACTAATGTTTCACATGATCTTGATTCTATCCCTGTTAATACAGCCTAGGATTGCATTGGCTGCTGTCACACATGCTTGGCTCTAATTTAAGTGATTGTCCGTTTGGACTTCAGGATCCCTCTCAGTTACTAGCATTGAGCTAGGTTTGATCTAATCTATACCTGTACAGTTGGTTTTCCTTGCCTAAGTGTAAAACCTTGTCTCTACACTGAATTTCATTTTGTTACATAGGGCCCAGTGTTCAAGTCTGTCGAGATCCATCTGGATCTTGAATCTATCTTCTGGAATGTTGGAGATTCCTGCCAGCTTAGTGTCATCTGCATCTATTCCCTCATCTAGATTGTTTAAAAAGATATTGAAGAGTACTGGGCCTAAAACTGAACCTTGGAGTACCCCACTGCTAACTTCCCTCAGTATCGGTGTAGTTCTGGACTACACGTTGAGTATGGTTTGTCAGCCAGTTACAAATCCATCTGGTGATGGTGCCGTCTATCCCACATTTTTCTAGCTTATCAAGACGTAGGTTGTGGTCTACTTTGTTAAATGCCTTCCTGAAATCTAAGTATACAGTACTCTGTCCACAACATTTCACTGGTCCACTAATTTAGTCACTTTGAAAAAGGTAAAATAAGATTTCTTTGGCATGATCTGTTTTTGACAAACCCACTTTGCTTGCTTCTAGGTGTTCACAGATCTGCTGCTTGATTATCTTTTCCAGGATCTTCCCAGGTATTCATGTCAGGGTGGTTGGTCTGTAGTTTCCTGAATGTTTTTTTTTTTTCCTTTTTTGAAGCTGGGAACATCAGCTCTTTTCCTCTGGTAGTTCCCAGTGCTCCAAAAACTTCAAAAGATACAGTAGTAGTTTCAAGACCATGCCTGCCAGTTCCTTCAGAACTCAGTCATTTGAATCCACCTAGAATTAACAGATGTTCTCTTACCTTTTCCTTGCTTATTTTAATTTACATTCCTAGACTTTCTTTTATGGTTCTGTTTTTGGTAGGTTAGGATATATTTTCTCTTTGCGTGAAGACAGATGCAAAGAATGAATTAAGCAGTTCTATTTTCTCTCTGCTGCACATTACTTCCTTGCCATCCTTTCCCATTAGTGGACCGATTAGTCTAATGCTTGTGTGGAATCCAAGGCAGTGGCTGCTTTCACATGACATGCTTATTCAACCCATTTTTCTGGATTTGGACAGCACATGGAATCCTAACATAAGCTGGTCCTGAACTGTCCATACTTGCTGGATTTGCCCAATATTATGGACCTAATGTAGCTAGCTTCTAGTTCAGACTGGTGAGCAGACGGGATAGTATCAGGATAAGTAACTTTAAATTTCTTGCTGCTGCTGCTGCTGCCCTTTATTGCAAAATATCATGTAAACCCGGAATTTAGAGTAAATAAATTATAGGCAGGTGTACTGTATTGTATAACGAAATCACTTTAGGGTGGGATGCAAATGCAGGTAGGGCTGGAGAAAAAAAATGCCTGTTTAGTTTCCTGCTATTTGCACATTACCCACCATTTCCCAGGTTCTTTTCCTCTCTGGACTTGTGTCTTGAGTTCCCTTCTGTGCTTTCCTGCTGGCTCAAAATACATGTGACTTTTTGATCTGACAACCTAAAATCACAGAATTTGCAAAATGAAAGCCAAAAAATACAGACAGGGCTAGAAAATCTTATTCTCTTATAGCAGTATTGTTTTTTATATTGAGAATCTCTTGCAAAATACAGAGAAAATGCCCAACTGTTATGAATATATCAGTTGCAGTCTATGTAACTTTATGTTATTGGAACTTGAAAAAGGGATTCCTCAAGGATTGGATATTTACATTGCTGAAATTAAAAGTAGTTATCTTTGAGCTTCTGAGCTCACTGGATTTTTAGGACCATTATTGTTTCTTTTAAAAAGGATTGGGGGTGGCATTTCAGCTTCTTAAACTAATGTAGATTTATTTCTGGTCTTTTATTGCTTCAACTGAAAACCACTCATCAGTATCAATTCAATACTGTAGAGTGTAGGACAGAAAGAATGAGAGAAGATATAAATACAGTGGGAGCTTTTTTTGCCTGTTTGAAGGCAATCACAATTTGGCCCCATAATATGGTCTACCTACTGCCAATTCCTTTTCCCTTCTTTATAAAGACTATTTTATAAGCAGCTATAGCAGTTTGCAACTGCAAGCTTCAAAATAATTTACCCAATTTGTACCAGCAAGATGTAACTTGAAATCTCTTCATATAAAAATAATAAACCACTTTTCAGTTGAGCAAAAATGTTTCCCAGGCCTTGTAACAGAGAATCAAATGTTTGAAGAGTAAGTCCCTGAGGTGTTAAATTCTGAAGCATGCAGGGATAGTTTGTTTCTGAACTTTTGTGCAGTTGATCAAAAGCAATCATTGAGTGATCCTTGGTGGGGTTTCTGCAGATGTCCTCTTATAAAAGATAGATAGGATGGGTATATAGATTGGTGACAATAATCCAAGCACTGACACAGTGGACGTTGCTAAGATCACTGAACCAATAGGGTGTTAACAATAAAGTTGGGAGCACTTTTATTTCTAGTACAAACTAGTGTATTCAGATTTACATTGCCCCCTGTATCCTCTCCCACCCTTCCCACTCTGCTAGGTACTATGTGAATTATTGCAAAAATCTGTAAGTTAGGGTGGAGATTTGCATAACAGGAATTCGTCTAATTAGAAGAGATAAGAAGAGAGTCTTATATATTCAGGTGACCTATACTGCATTGGAAGTGCTTTGAACGTGCACATTGCTCAACTTTTTTCTTGTATTTTCAGGTTACATCCAAGCATGCAGAGGACTCATGATTGCTGCTGTCTGCCTTGGATTTTTTGGCTCTGTATTTGCACTGATTGGGATGAAGTGTACAAAAGTTGGAGGCTCAGATCAAACTAAAGCTAAAATTGCTTGTTTTGCTGGACTGATCTTTATTCTGTCAGGTAAACATGATCAAAGCTGTGATTTTCTAGGCAGATCAAATCAAGTAGGAAAATTGCTGTTTTCATTATTTTGTAGATTCTGGTTGATGTGTATTGAAGCATTTCCAGATATTAATCTGTTCTGCACTTGATGCATTTTTTAGGACTGAGTGCATTGACTGGTTGCTCCCTCTATGCTCACCGAATAACATCTGAGTTCTTTGACCCCACATTTATTGCACAAAAGTAAGTCCACTTGAAAAATACTGAGGTAGGAGGTGCTTTACTTGCTATTTTGCTCCATCTGCCTGGTTCAGAGGAACCAGAACTAATTAACCCACCCAAAATAAAGTTTAAACTGGTTATAATGAGAATAAAGTAACTGCTGCCTTTTGAATTCCATTAGTATGTCAGTGATATTAGAATGGAAGATTACAAGGCCCACAGCCTTGAGATGGATCTTCCTGTCTTAGACAGAAGCTTTGCAAAATATATTTCAGTACAATATAGTTAAAAGTAACTAACAAAAAATAAAATAACTTTTGCTCTGTTTCTGAAGTTAAACCGAGAGCCGATTATCTATATTCTAAGATCTTTTTCATCTTTCTAGTTATTGCAACCAAAACTAAAACATTTACAGCAAATGATCTAATTTTGTACAAGCTCAGCTTGCCCACAATATATTTAGAAATGCTCTCTTTGTGACCCAGCAAGAAGTAAATGATTAGTCTATTATAATTACTCAAATAGTTGATTGTTATTTCTAAATTATATGCAGCAAAGCACCAGTATTTTTTTTTATTGCAGGCAATTTATGAGGTCTTTCCTTGTAAATAGATAAACCCTGGAAAGCAAGACAGTAACTTCTCCAATTCTAACTGGAGAAGTGAAGAGGAAATTAAATCTTCAATGCCTATTAGTAGTAACCATAATTCAAATGGCTTGTTTTAGACAGAAGCAATGCTTGCCATGCTTACTGATTTGGGGGAGGGGGAGACTGAGGATTGCAGTGGAAAGAGCAAACATTAATTTTTTGTTAATACAATGTCTTTATTTAGCCTTGTAAACCCTTCCTACCAACTAAATAAAACTGATTTGTTCATTAAACTATTTATTAAATATGAATTATCACCTACCTGCAGGTATGAACTAGGAGCAGCTTTATTCATTGGTTGGGCTGGAGCATCACTTTGCATAATTGGTGGCAGCATATTCTGCTTCTCCATTGCTGAAAACAAACCAACTCAACGGTACAGACAACTGCTTTTATTAAAATTAATATTAGCAGATTCTAATTATTAAATTGTAAGAAGTAGCACCAATCCAGTCTGCAAATCTTTCAGAAATAACCCTAGTCAGTAATCAAGAATGATTAGTTGAAAAAAGGATGAATTTAAAAGCCCTCTGCTTTTAGGGAAAAAACTTGTCAAACTCTGCTCATCTCTATAAGATTTAAGCATAGGATTAAAACTCATGTAGCCCAAGCTCATGATTTCTGCCACACAAGATGCCTTAGTGCTTCTTCTTTAAAAGAATGCACATTGCATTTTCAATGCTCTTAAGGTGCATGAATATGATGATTCATGACTTATCTTTAAATTTATTGGGCATTTTGTTTTCATAGAAATAGATTTATAATTGTGAAACCACTTCCCAACTACCTCCCTTTATGTTAAATTGTACCAAGACAGCAGTATTCACTAGTCCTTACTTATCCTTCCAAACTTTCTTTCCTTTTCATCCATCTATTACAGTGGTTCTCAACCTGTGGGTCGGGACCCCATTTGGGGTCGAACGACCATTTCACGGGGATCGCCAAACGCAGTCCGCCATTTTTTTCCCCTTTTCCTTAGCTGTGCTACTCCCTTTTATTCTGTTGGCTTTTGAAAGCAAATAGAATAGACTCTCTTGAATAGAGTCTAATTATATTGGCTTTCAAAACCAATAGGAATTGTCCAGGCTGTCTCTGCCCTGCTGAGCCCGCCAAAAGTCCCATTCTGCAAATGGTGCTGCACCAGTTGAGTAGTCCTTGACTTACAACCGGTTGAGTAGTCCTCGACTTACGACCGGTCGGGGGTCACGGCATTAAAAAGGTTGAGAACCACTGATCTATTATGTGTAACATTAATTTTGCTTCCCAGTAAAGCAAAATACGAAGTTGAGACAAAATTGGGTTCTAGAAGACATAGGGTATAGTGCTGTAATGCATTTGCTGTGATTTTACCTATTGTGATTTTACCTATTGTGTTGAGTATGTTGAAAATAAAAGTAGAGTTGTAATAGGAACTCATGAAATGTTCTGCACTTTCCAGTATGAGCTACGTGTAATCCAGTCTTAATTTGGGAATAAATCCCCTAAATTACATAGGTTTGACTTCTGAGTAAGCCAGCTCAAGTTGTCCTATTTTGACATACAAGTACATCTCAAAAATTTAAACTCGATACCTGAATTGAAAGTGTTTTAAGGACAGCTTGCTATAATAAATGACATGGAGGGGGGGAAAAAAAGCATTGATTTCATGATTCTGTACTTGGTCAAATAAAAAAAAAAATCAGAGGCTGCTATCATGGCTGAAAGGATTAGAAATGGTTGCTAAGCTAAACCTTTTATTCCCTTCTGAAAATGAAGTGGTAGATTCTGAACATCAGATAACAGGGTCCCTTTCCCAGTTTTTAGTGTGAAGTAATTAAAAATATCTGCCTGGGAAGCTCTGTGACATTTGGGAATGTTCCACAGAACATCCTTCACTGTGTCATCAATAATAAGGTAGCAGCTGTTTTTCCTGGCTTGGCCATTAACTCATGTTTTTAGCATTTGAACCTGTAGGGCTTTGACCGAATGACCTCCATGTTATGGTTAAGTCAATTTTAGCTTCCCACTAAGTGATACTCAAAATAAGAATATTCTTCAGAACACACCTATATTTTTCTAGGTATTTGATTATAAGTTCAAGACTGCTGTGCAAAGAATCTATAGTTGAGGCTAGTTAAGTATTCCTACAGCAGTTTTGAAAATTGTTCAAATTTCTACCCTGAACTTTTGGTTATAGAAAGCCTTTCCCAAGGACTAGCAAAGTTTTAACACTATTCTTGTTAAACTGTCACTTCAAAGTATTAGCACTATTCATATTAAACTGTCACTTAAAATATTGAGACTTGACCACAAGTAACCTCCTGAACTGCAATAATGTCTGAAAAGTTTTTACCCACCTTGAACATAATGGATGGGTACAATATCATTGTTGTGATTAAGGTGCAAGGACATATAGCCCCTGCAATTCATCCAAACAGCCATGTCTATAAGGGACTATAAGGCAGCTGTGGGAGGTTCCTGGAAATTGCTGCTGCTGCTTTAAATGAGCTGCAGAAAGTGGCTATGCTCATCCTTCCTTGTATTCCAAAATATTTGTCTATTGTAAAACCTAAAGCACAGAGCAACCCCATAACATTTTCTTTTCAATATTTCTTGATATTTAAATGAGCTCTAAACTTTCTCATGTTTCAGGATGGTTTATACATACAACAGACCTTCTTCTGTGATGTCTACTCGAACCAAGGCCTATTCAGCAGATTTTAAAGGATCCAAGATGCCTCCAAAGCACTTTGACAAAAATGCCTATGTGTAACTGGATGGTTGGAGGAATCTTTTTGTTATTAAAAATCATACCTATGTGCTGTCCATCCACAGAATGATTTTTAAAAGTGGCTTGGTATCTTGAGCATCAGCAGTTTTATAACTATTTTATAAATGAACTTTTGTCTACTTGATGTAAATTTTCTTCACAACTTGTTTTAAGATTTATACTTATACTAGACATAATTTATAACTGAAAAATAACTTGCTATTTTTTTGCTTTCTGTAAAAAGAAATATAAATGAAGTCATTTTAATTACAGCCAATATTGTCAGGGATCTTCAGAATCAAATATAACAGTTGCAGGTTTTAAATGGCTCCATCAGTTTTGAAGACCTGCTATTAATAACTTGGGACTAGTTTTAAAAGCATATTAAAACAGATTGAGATAAGCTTCAGCAAGAACTTAGTAATCAATTATGAAACACCAACATTGTTTTAATTCCAGTATCACAATTATATGGATTAACACCCCCACCCCACCCAAATACCCTCTAACACAAAACAAAGATTTTCTTCCTCAACTTTCCACAAGGTTAAAATTGGAATTTTGGATTTACGTGGCAGCTTGTGTTCTACTAGGTATCATGAGCAGATAAATATCTCGATGTCTGAGGAATTCTCTCTGTAGTTTTACTTAAACCCTCACCTGCAAATAGGTTGAATTAAATCAGGGCAGTCTCAGGTATTGATTGAAACTATCAACTTTGTCCCTGAAGGTTTGTCACATTGCTCTAAAAATTGAAATTCTCATCAGACCACTAAAATGTACAATGTAATATACATTTGATTACATCATTTTATTTTGTGTATTTTTTTTTAGATAATGTGATTTAGAAACTAGGTAGTATTAGATTTATTTTTTTTTTGTGCCTTCTGGTCAAAGTTAATGCCTGGCAACTGCCTGGATTATTCCTGCAATTTTCTTGGCAAGGGTTTTGGAAGTGGTTTGCCCTTTCTTTCCTCTTCCAAGGACAGAGTGTGAGTGACTAGCCCACATTCCCCCCCCCACTGGCTTTGGGCCTACAGCAACACTAAAACCTATGGTCTCCTGGTTTCTAGCCTTGTGCCTAACCACTACACTGGTTGCTATAGTATTATAGTGAGGTAGGAATGGCCTTTTCCTTGTTTTTCTTCTATTAACAAAGCTTCACTGCCTTGATACACATTATACTGTTAAAGACCAATCCTATCTTGAGCTTTTATAAGATATGAAACCCACTGAAAGTTAGCATGTTCCACAGATTTTTTTTTACTACAAAGAACAACATTGTACATTTAAACATCAGCAAGAAGATGGAGGAATGGAGCACGCACATACGGGTTTCCAGATACACTTACCTGTGCCTAGAACTAAATACAAAATGTTTTGGGAAAGAATGAGGTATAAGAAAGGAACACAGCCTTTTAGTCATTTTTATGAGACCAGAAATGTAGTTTTGGTAATTATTCTGGATTAAAAGAACGTTAAGAACTTTATTGTTTAGCTGGTTTAAAATAAATAATTTTATTTTTAAAAAAATCTTATTATTTTTATGCCCTCTGTCCCCAATTCAGTTCAAATTGTGCTTGTTGAAGGGTTGTTAAGGGTTACTAGGGCTCAATCTATGAAGTATTGAAGTTGTTAAATGCCCTGAAACACTAAGTGAGCTAGCATCTGGTATGGTCATTGATCCACCTGTCCCCTTGGGCAGTTATTTCTGCATGCTCAAGGCAAAAAGCAATTTTACTCTTCATAAGAAGAGGAGGCAGAAGGAGACAAAAGCAGGGACATATTAAGTCTTCTCTTGCATGCTTGATAGCAATGACAGATGAGCACAAAGGCCAGGCAAGAGGTCATATTTGATAGATTACAAAACACATAATGAATGTGCTCAATTTAAAGTGCTGCAAAGCATTTTACTGCATCTTTCCTATGTTGCTTCAACCGATCTCCAAATAGAGTTCAGGTGACCTGATATTATCCCTAATATTCCTGTGCTCACCAGGTGGCAGGATTCCCACACAGTCAACTTCTTTACCATTAAGGAAATCTGCTAATCTTTCAACAGGAGGGATTCCTTTTACATAGAACAGCTACATCAACAGATGCAGCTGGTCTTTGGTAGGGACCTTCAGAAGTTGTGCAGTGAACTTTCAGCTCAGGTGTTATGCCAGAGGAAACGGAATAGTTTTGCAGTGTTTCCTATTAGTATGGCTTTACAAATCCTTAGTAGGACCTGGAATACTGCATCCAGTTTTGGTCGCATTAAAAAAAGATGTTGAGATTTTGGGGGAAAAGTGCAAAGAGCAACTAAGACGATGAAGGGCATTAAGGACAAAAACATGAAGACTGATTAGGAATTGGGTATGGCCAATTAGAGAAAAGAAGGACTAGGGGAGACATGATAGTAACTGCATGGAAGTGCCAGGAGTCAAAACAAAGCCACCTTCTTCCAACTTTTTAGTCTTCCTGGGTAGCATTACAATAAAGATATGTTTATATAAGGTCTTTGTATGATTTAAATATGTTTTGATAGTTTAAAAAAAGAGGACAGTGTTAATTGGTACAACACTTTTTAACTACTTCTTCCAGGAGAACTAGCTGGAAGTAATTAACAGCTCGCATTTGATCAAAGGTAAAATTTTGGACACAGTTTTGTAAAGAAAAGTTCCTTGTTAGTGCACCATAAGAAAAAAGGACAGAAATCAGATTAAACCTCCTTGCGCAATCAAATATATGAAGAGTCGCTCCAATCTGTAACAGTGACCAAGCTGCTTTTCGGTGAGCTTGAGATATCTGCATCTTGAAGTCCTATTAAAAAAGAAAAAATGCAGTTACTTGGAAAGATATTCAGTGAGAAAGATGTTATCATTCCCTGCCACCTATTGTTTCATATTCCTACACTTAGAAAAGTTCTCATTATTATCCAGTCTAAATCTTTTTGGAAAAAATGCCATTTCTCATGAGCATAGTTGGCCAATGTGGAAACTTTCCAGCTCTGGAATCACTGCCATTGGGCAAAGCTAGGAAATGCGTGAAACTCTCACCACCCTCTCAATGACTGCAATGGGAAGAGTTGTACATCTTGTTGCCATAGGAGCTCTTTCTTCTTTAACATTAGCCTATCGTGCAACTGGTATATGTAAACAGAATCCACAATCACAGTAGATGTAGGTCTGGATTAAACCTCCCTTTTCAAATTGTTCAGGGAAAAATATAACACAGCAATTCTAGCATGAAAATACCTTCATCCTTTATTGGTTTTCTCCATTCATGGGTCACTGACACAGCACATACATTCTTATTTTTCTCATCTTTCAAAGGTTTTTCATCTTCCAGAGATGATAAATCCCAGTCATTCTCATCTTCAATGCCTGTAAACTATATATATAAAAAGAAATAACAGCAATTTCTTCAACTTAGGAAATGTTCTAGCAATATTTCATTGAGCAGTTATTCTCAATCTTTTTGAACATAGTACAGTAAGATGAAAGGGATATATATGAAATTATTAAAAGAAACTTGAAATTCTCAGGAGTAATACAGAAAAACAATGGTTTTATTTTCCTGCTCTAAAAAGACAATTTGAGAAAACAGTATAGAAATGCGTAGAGTATTTTCTTGATTCATTACTAAACACTGTATCACTGTAGGAAAAAAACAGTGTTATTCTAAAAAACAGTGACCTCTACTGAAAGGAGGTAGAATAAGTAAGATGAAAGAAAAAAAAAACCAATATTGTCTGTCAGATTTTATAGTTGTAACATTTTAAATGCAGCAATGTTAAAATGTTTCTACTTGTACCTCATTCATGTACACTAGAAAGAATTAAATGTGTTTCATTCTCCATTGAAAGTAATATTTCATTAAAGCTGCATTAAGAATTCCACTGGATACAAAGGAATGCAAGCTTTATGTAGGATTCTACTGCTGTGAACTTGATTCTGGTAGTTGTTTGCTAGGAAAAATATTAGTAATAACAAAATCAATGTGACGGTGGAACCAACAACCATAGAAACTGTTGGATTTCTGGCATTAGATGTATATGAGCAGAGGCTGGAAATGTTAGGGATTTCTGCATGGGGGATTCTGGCTCTGATGGCTGAGTTGCCCTTTGCAATTGCAGAGTTCTATGGTTATCGCAGGACACACTGGAGTCAAATGAAAACATGTACAACAGGATCAGAAAACATTTAATGGGACAGCTTAGAATCTTATTTGTAAAATACCTTTACTCCTTGGGCACATGTTTGAATAGATGCTGAACCACCATTAATTCTTCCAATTTGTTTCCTTTCCTTTCTTTGGCTTAAGAGAAACTTTTCCATTTCATCCATTTCATTTTGAAGTAAAGAGCCTAAAACCCATCAAGACAGAATACAGGCAGTTTATAAAACAAATATTTTAAGACACAGTGACAATGCCTGCTGTGCTTTCGACATTTCCTTAACAAGACTTAGTCCAGAGATTAACTATAGTTCTTACACCCACCCCATCCTTCCTCCAGGATCTCAAGGGGACATACATGGCATAACCTCCATTTTTTTCTCTACCACAAAAACCTGATAAGATATGTTAGTCTAAGAAACTGATCCTACGTTACCCAGTAAATTTCTAAGGTTGAAATCTGGACTCCCAGCCCAGGTTCTACCCCTTTCATTCCCCATCTTAAACATAGCTGGTGCTGCAAGAGGATGAGAGGACCCTTGTATGCCATCCTAGCAATCTTGTCACCTTGCTGTAGCTTCTCAGCTCCACTCATGCAAGAGAGAAGCCTTTGGGGTGCACACACACTACCGCCTCTCGCACAGCCTGGTTTCGAATAGGCTACAGCCTGGTAGTGGGCCACAGCCCGGGGGTTGGGGACCCCTGTTCTAGACATCATGCTACTGAAACAAGTCATCCAGCAAATTAGAAGAAAAGAGCAGTTACATGCAGAGATTAGCAGATGTTGTAGGCACCACTGCATTATCACCCAAATCTGACCTGGAAAATTAAGTAAATTCAAATCCTGAGATTGGACTTTATAAGACCCAAGATCACATACAATAATGATGAAATATTAAAATAACTGTCTCTCTCACAAGATTTCAGTCAGTTTCTAAAAGTCATAATTTGGTGGTTTACAAGGATCATTTAGGTTAGATATTGTTTTTCAGTTCTCTGACATGGTTCATCTGCTTCAGCTTGCCAATCTTTAGAAGGCAATTTCTCCTCCCCCACAAGTGCCACATATTTTTAGCTTTCCCCCAAATACTGCCCACATAATTAGCTTTTGTACTTCTGCTTCTGGATGGCTTAAGATCTACTTCATCTTCAGGAATGTTTATATCACTCCGATATGCAAATCTTGGCAAGTTGTCTTTGCTGTGGCCCTTGGAGGCCTTGTGCAGAGATAATTCAGGTGAGATGTAGGAGTGCCTGATGTGATTTTCCTCCACTTCCTCTTCTGAGCTAAATGGAGGAGTTCTGGGAGAACAAAAATTCATCTATGAATTTAACCTGTTCCAGTTACAGTAATTTTAAAAATATAAACTAACTTTCTATAATAAAACTAGAATCAATAATCTATCACACATTATACCTAAGACAGTTCATTAGGAACTCTCTTATCAAAGCAAGGATAATTAGGAGCTGTACCCATTTCTGTTGAACATGACTTTGGCATCAGTAGGCATATATATATATATATATATATAACTATTACATCGTAGGAGCAATGAAATACTAAATTTTAAACTAGAGTAACATCACTCTATAAAAATAATTAGCTAAACTATTTTTTTACTGCTTAGGCAGAATTCTATTTCAGCCTTTTCCAAAGTATTGCCCTCCAGAGGTGCTAGATTAACTTCTTCATGATTTTTAGTGAAATAACCTGTATTCCAGCTTCTTTCAAAGGCACAAGGTTGGGAAATGCTGATCTACAGTAAATATAGATTTTAGCCAATCAATTTACTTCATTCCATTCAAGTTAAAAGATGACCAAAAGTAGTTGAATCATAATCATTGGTTGATCCCGTTACGTATAATATTTAATGTAATTTATAAAATCAGAAGTATACAAATAGCATTTGAGGAAGCTAAAAAATCAAAAGAGGATTAGCAGATTTTTGATCAGGGGCAAAATATCCTGCCCAATCCTTTTTGCTGTGTCCTAACTTCCAATCAGCCAACACTACTTCTTTAAGGCAAAGTGATGTATCCAATTTGTTCCAAAATTAATGTTGGTTTTTAGAACAGAATTCTTATTTCAAAGCACACAAAACAAAATGAAGGCAGCTTACTCAGTACTAGGTGGTTTTCTAGAAATTTCATCCTTCGACATATTCTTCTTGATTCTGGAAGGAAAGGAAAACGAGTAATTGTAGCTTCTTTTGGCTAGTAAGATGGATATTTCATATATTGCTATTTATTTTCTTGCATTTCCTCACTGGCTCCATTGGCTTATAGATTTGGTTTATATGAAGATGAAACGGACTACAGGAAGTCCTCAACTTACGACCACAACCGAACTCAACATTTCTGTGGCTAAGTGAGACATTTGTTAAGTGAGTTTTGCCCCATTTTACGACTTGCCATAGTGGTTAAGTGAATCACTGAAATTGTTAAGTTAGTATCTCAATTGTTAAATGAATCTGGCTTCCCCATTGACTTTTCAGACTTGGTTTCACTTTTGATCGTGCTAATATTTTGTAACTAATAAACATGTTCTTTGAGGAATTTTCAAGCCTCGGAGTTCTGCTTTATTTGTCTCTGTCAGAACCATGACAAGTAATTCCCATCATTACTTCCTGATCATCAATGGGCCACTCAAGAATTGCCTGAACCATGAGATGGCCAGCAAGTAAATTTGCTTAAATGAATGAATGAATGACCAAGAAGACAACTCTAACAGCCTCTCATAAAACATACAACAATTATATCTTATCTGAACTTTTTAACTTACTTTGGGGTTGATGTGTTTTCAGCAGGCAATTTTCTTTGCATGAGTGAATGTTTGGCAATGGAGGAACGTTTTACTGGCTTGGGCAAAACGGTGGGTAAAGAAGTTCCTAAGCGAGTTGCCTTGTGTTTAGCTGTAAAGAAATGATAACTAAGGAGAATCCAATGTTATTTAAACCACATGCCTTGTCTGTGAAGGAATACTTAAATGAAATTATGCTGCACAAAAGAGCACAAAACAGTATCTTCTATTTGATTTTAGCATTTTGCTTACAAAAATTTCACTATTATAGCAAGTCACCAGATCACCAAATCATGGGCTCTCTTTAGGATCCCACATTCCCACTTTGTGGGGACCATTTCCTGTCATCATCTCTTTTTAAATGGCTAGTTTTAACATCACTATTTTTTTTAAATTGCCTCACTTAAAAAAAGATAAGATCCAATATATAATACTATGAATAGAAATGATGTACCCATAATAATTGCTAGTAATATTGCTTCCTTGGGCAACACGTTTCATAAAATAGGTAATATTTTACACCTTTGAGTAGGAAAAACAGTTTCTGTCCACTTACTGCAGCCTAGGAGGACAATAGAAAACCTTATACAAAGCTAGAATTAAGATGAAAATGTTACAAGATGCCAAGAAAAATGGAGGTTTTGGTTTACCAGAGTGGGTTTTATATTATCAAGCATCTGTATTAACATGGGTAAAAGAATGGATAATTCTTAGAAACAAAAGGTTGTTATATTTGGAGGGTCATGATTTACAATTGGGATGGCACACTTTCTTATGGTATGGGAAAAATAAAATTCATAAGTACTTTCAAAATCACTATACAAGAAATGCATTATTAACAACATGGGAAAAAATAAAATGTAAAATATATCTGAAAATTCCAGGGTGGCTTTTAACAACGGAAGCATTTGTACACCCAAATTTAGTTGATTTTGAAAAAATCCGGACATACAGAGATATTCTAAACTCTGAAGGGAATTTAAAATCTAAACAAGAAATAGAAAATCAGGGTATCAATTTAGCATGGTGGGAACATTTACAAATGCAGGTTAGATATGATAAAGATGTTAAACTATATGGATTTTACAAAGGGCCAACTTTGTTTGATAAGATGAGAAACTAAGAAAATTTATAATTTTCTATTAACTTTGAAAATGGAAAGCGAACAAGTTAAAGAAACAGTGATAAGATCCAAAAAAATTTTGGGATACAATATAGAATTAGAAAAATGGCAAAATTTTTGGGAAAGAAATTACAAGCTGACAATGTCAACCTCTTATAAAGAAAATTTATATAAAATGTTTTATAGATGGCGCTTGCCACCAGCAAGATTAGCAAAAATGTTTAAAAACATGTCAGATAGATGTTGGAAACGCAAACATAAGTCAGGTACTTATTACCATGTTTGATGGACATGTGCCAAAGCAAAGAGTTATTGGAAAAAGATACATGCACATAGATTTTAAACCTGAACTTTTTTTATTAGGTATAATGCCAGAAAAGACTGATAAACAAAGATATATTTGTCTTTGCATGTTACAACAGCGGCAAGAATTATATTTGCGCAGTATTGGAAAAATGAAATACCATCAGATGAAGAAATAATTAAAAAAAATATTAGAATGCGTGGAGATGGATAGACTGACTCTGAGGCTGAAAGAAAAAGAAGAAATGAAATATTATCAAACTTGGGACTTATTTTATCAATGGCTAGAGGAAAAAAGGATTAGGAACTAAATATGTATTAGCGAATGTAAACTCAGACAGCACGTTTGTTGAATAAATACTATTGAATGTATGGGGGGAAAAATTAATAAAAAAAAAGAAAGAAAACTTTTTACAAAGTCTTCCAAGCAAGCTACTAGTCCAGTGCTTTCCTAATACAAGCCACCAATACTTGATATATACAAAAGAGATGTTACACTTTATAATGCATTTCAGGGCATACAGTAAGTGTTTAGATTATTAATGGATTAATCTTGGCAGGGCAACCCTTCTGGAAACTAAGACATTTGCAAATAGACCTGCTGCAGTCAGTAGAAAGAAGTCAGAAATCGGGAACAAATATGAAGAGAGCAATTGTGCCTTTTAAGTATTAAGCACAATCTTTATATTCAGCACATTCAAAATTGTAGAACTGCCTTAAAAAACTGTTTGAGAAATTCTGTGCAAATTCTATAGAAAATGCAAACTCATCCTTAATTCTTGCTCAACAATGTTTCCATATAGGCAATTTTCTTCTATACTGTTATCAAACACTATTGTTCCCATTGATTGTAACTGAAAAGCATTACTGAAAAGAAACTTTAACTGTTCAACTGATAACTGATTAATCACCTTTTAAAAATTACAGGTAGGTTGCATTAGTGCAAGTTCAAATAATGCAATAATTTCTTCAGCACAACTTCAGCACATATTAGGTCATGTTTAATTATGAACCAAAACTCAGTGTGAAGCTAGCCCACGCACAGTTGAGGCTAGCTCAAGCGCAGCTGAGGGCTTTAGACACTAGTAATTGTGTGTGCAATATAGAGGAAAGGGAAAGGAAGGTTCCATTCTAGGAAAGCTTAAAAAAACAAAGTAATTTTGAAGAACTACAGTATGGTGCAGAAGAATATAGAAGATAGCAGTTCCACTTTGGACATGGTTTTATTCTCCAGGTTGTCCTTTGTTCACTTCTTTATTTCCTCTTTTACCACTTCAAATGTCAAGTGAAATACGAAGTTCTGGTTTTTGCTTTTCTGGTGGCCTCAACAATTGTTAATAGATGAATTAATTGGCAAGATCTGTCTATCTAGATCAGTGTATCTTAATCTGAGCAACTTTAAGATACGTGGACTTTAATTCTCAGAATGCTGGCTGGGGAATTCTGAGAGTTGGAATTCTTAAAGTTGCCAAGGCTGAGAAATACTGATCCAGATGGTAAGATAGGAATTATATTTAGAAGATTCTTGTTTTTATTTTGCTTTTTATAACTACTCTGTGGCTTTATTAAAAATAAAACTGTAAGTGTATTCTTTTAATCTTTATTGTGAATATTTCCTTAACAAAACATATAAACATTCATGTTGATAATTTTCCTTTGTCTATTTATGTCAAGCTGGAACCAATTAGCCTATTTTCCACATAACTTGGAAATGTTTAAATCTGAATGATAGGATCATTTCATGGGATCTGTGATTAGCATTGAGATGTAAAACTAAGAATTTTACAGTCATGTTGCACAAACAAGCTGGCACACACTTATTTTAAGGAATCATTTACAGACAGCAAAGTTAAACTTTTAAATCTGACCCCCAGAGCATAAACAAAGACCATACCTTCTGAAGAAAGATAAGGGTTGGAAAGAAATCTGCTGCAAGATGATCTTTCAGCAACTCTGAAACTGACTTGTCGTTCAAGTTGCTCTCGAATATGTTGAATATCAGGCAGTTGTTTCTTCCTTTCTTCTCTAGCAGACTCAACAGATATTAAGACTCTGTTCAGATGATCACTTGGGATGCCGCGCACTCCCTGGGTAGGACAAATTAATGAACATTAGAAATAATTTTATTTTTTTAGGAAGTATATAAATTATTCTTGGGAAATGATCGAACAGTTAAGTCACTACTACCTTGATGGAATTACTTCACTACTTTTTTACAAATTTATTAAGTTTTACAATGTACGTAAAAACTAACACAATGATGAAGTGTAAAAGAAGCAAAGAGGAGAGGAGAGGAGAGGAGAGGAGAGGAGAGGAGAGGAGAGGAGAGGAGAGGGAGGGAGGGAGGGAGGGAGGGAGGGAGGGAGGGAAGGAAGGAAGGAAGGAAGGAAGGAAGGAAGGAAGGAAGGAAGGAAGGAAGGAAGGAAAAAGAAGCTTCCAATTTCTTCTACATCAAATGTAAGTACATTTATATTTAGTTTTATTTTATGATTACAAAAAAAGAGCTCACTTTTTTCTATTTTCAAGTTTTTTCTAATAATCAAAGTCACAAATCAGGAGTGCATATTTTCATGCAAAAAGTCTATTAGAGAAAAAGCAATATATTTCTGGTTGATTGAAAATAAGAGATGTTTCTCTTTTGATTAGTTTAGTCATCTCTGCAAGTTCCATCATCTTCATCAAACATTCCTCCATTGTGGGCTTGTGTTGAGCCTTTCCACTTTTAAGCATCTAATAGTCTTGCTGCAGATGTACATCACTACTTTAGAGGCACTGACTTCTGTGCTGAGATTTGGTCTGTCGCCTTTTTCCTATTCAGAGGCAATATTTTGTGTGACATAAGGTTCAGAATGTCAGGCAGGCACAACTGAAGTGCGCTGGCTTGAGAAAGACATTAAAATTCCTTCACTCATTTGAACAATTTAAAGTGATCTTACGGATTTAATTCCCAAGGATTCCAACTTTTCTGCTAGGGTCTGCTCCAAAACAGTTCTCAGTTCTTTTGTTAAAGAAGGATCACTCTTCAAGGTATTTATCATATGAGACTTATTCTTTCCTGTTTGGGGCACTTGCTTTTCTATTTCTGAAACAAGCCAGGTATTTTTCTTTAAAAACCACGTCATAAAATCAATACACACTTTATCAAAATATTTGCAGTGTATTTTCCACTCACCTGAATTTTCTGCCTAAGAAATTATACTGTTTCTATCAGTAGTAAAGTAAAACAATAACTTTAAATAGAACTGGGCCAGTTTCTTTGGTCACAAATGCATTGGACAAATCATGTTATGCATTAGGTATCAGTTTAATTATAGATATAGTAAATCCATGAAAAGTTATTTATGATTGATTTTAGTGAACCTACTCTTAAGAATAATTTTCAATTCAAACCAATGTAGGTAAACATGTAATGTGATCATTGAATCCTAATAACACTAGTTCATTGAATATAATTTATCATTCACATTGTTATTTATTGTGTTTGCTAGCAATTTCATCTATGTTTTTTTTCTGGGGAATCAATCTGTAGCCAATTATTTAAAAACTACTCTCATCACAAATAATAGAGAAGCTTGAATAAATAAATAACCTTAATCACTGACTTTTGTTCAGAATGGTATAAAGCAGTTGGACTAGAAGACTTTCAAGGTCCCTTTCAATCCTATGATTCTATGACTCCCTGAATGCAACTGTAAATCTTAGATCTGCATGAATAAGACAGGAGGTATGTTCAAACAGTGGGCTGAAAGTCACATAAGCCAAGAATTGTATCAAATGAACTACAAGGAATTCTGACACCCCAAATAAAAACAAATTCAAAACCAAAGGAACTCAATTGTCTGTATGTGTAAGAAAGTTCATGTGGAGGAGACACATCTTGGCTGGTTATAAGGGATGAATAAAACAGAATCCTGGAGGGAAATAGTGGTGAACATTAATTGGCAAAAAGGCCGAGCAATAGGAGAAGCTACTTTTCAAAGGGATGACAGAAATACTGAGGCTATCTGAAAATGTTGACATAAGACTTTTTTGTGTCTTCTGCTAGAAGAAATGTGATATTGCTCTCTGTCTCTGACTCTCTCATACATACACATAATGCAAGAAGAATTTAGGCCACAAAAACTTCAATTGGTCCTGTCGATTACCTTTTTCATTCTCTGGAAGCTCCTCTATGGGCTCCAGCATGGGTACCAAAAAGGCCTGTTCTAATATCGAGGAAACACATGAATAGAAGCACAGACAGAAAGACAGACAATATAAAAACAAGTAAAGATAAGGCCCAGAGAATGAAAACAATTCAAAAATGTATGGAAAAGTACCAGATGCATATTTATTTGGTGATTAAAGCCCAATCAAATGCAATTATTATCAACTTAATGCAAATTGCAACCTGCCTCCAGCTACATGCACCTGGCAAAATATTTTTTTATCATTTACAAGTGGTTTTCAACCTCTAATCACAAAGTACAGGTTAAATGGATAATGGTATATTTGGGGGGTTAAATCAAAAAAGCCATGAAGAAATTTGCTCTATTTTTTTTCCTCCTGCCATCATATAATACAACAGATATAAGGACTTTGTCCCTACACCTTATACAGATATTGGGGGCAGTGGGGAAACACATTATTTCAGTCAGGTTGTAGAAGACGTGCCTGGCTGAGGAATTCTGGGTGTTGAAGTCCACAAGTCATAAAAGGGCCAAGTCTGAAGACCCCTGGCATATAGCATAAATCTTCACAACTGGTTCTTATTTACATTTAGCTAAATTTAAGGTAACCAAAGAACACATAAGATTCTCCTCTTCAGTTTTCCAGCTTAAATATAAATCAAGAAGCCAAGTGGACACTACTTTATATGGAAGAATAATTAAGCCAACTTGTGCCATCTACTGAAGCCGTTTCCCTACTCTGCGGAACAACCAAAGTTCCAGTGATTATGGCAGCTATTCAAACCATTCAAACCTCTACTTGGAATACCTCAGTTTTTGCTTCTACCTATCTTAATATCCCAGCTTTTCTAGGGAGAGATACAGTCATTATAAATCTAACCTTTGCCAACTGATTGTAATAAAATGTCATCAAGAAATTCCACGCTCTCAGTTTGCCATTCTCCTTCAAAATTGCACACAGGAAGTCTTCAGTATGGCTACAGGTATACGAAGATCACCTGAATGCTGGGATAGCCCCATGTCCAAGAACATGTTTTTTTCCAGCTCAGGCAATAACGTTAAATAGTCTTTCCCCAAAACAATCACTCCTCTAAAAATATCATTCTATCAGAGGGTAAAAATGCAACCATACTAGACTCACACCTATAATGTGGGGGAGTTGGGAATAGTAATGCATGGGCACAACATAAACCTGGTAACTTACTATTTGCACCTGGTGTCAAGTCACAAGCAGGAAAGGGTTGTTGCCACTTGCAAATTAAGTTTCTTCATTTGTCACCTAGTTTGTCATGGATACCTATGTTCATACAGATTTGATTTTAAAGCAGTAACTATAAAAGGCAGGAGGAATGTGAAGGTGCAGGATGAGAGGCATACAGAAGTAGAAAGACTTTCTAGTACTTAAATAGGTAATCACCAACAGAATAATTCAGATCAAAACCCAAATATGTCCAAATGGAATAAGGAATGCTAAATACTGAAAACTTTGAATAGTGATAATTTAGACATTTTTGTAGAAATATCACAGGTTAAATTGCTATTCAAAGGTAGCTTTAAGTATCTGCTATTACAAGTAATGATCTAGATTTCAAAAAATAACATTGATACCTGTACAAATTGAGCAGCTACTAGCAATGACAGATAAAGATATTCCCCACATCTTAAAACTTCCTATCCAAACAATCCAATTATTTGAACTAACAATATCATGTGATACAATTCCTGGTGCTGAAGGAAATTATACTTCTATAATCATGAACATTACATATGGGATGCTAGAAAGATCGCATCTTACAATGCTGTAATATATAATGACACACTGGGCATTTTATCTCTGGTTCCACATAAATTGTCTAAAATTGGAATTGTCTGTATGACAATTCCATAAATTGGAATTGTCCCTAGTTCCACATAAAAATGGCTCTGGCAAATTATCATAGAAAGGCAAAAGGCAAACTAGCAAGGCTGACATGCAAGCAACTCAACCATAAAGTACAAAATAGAAATGCAGTTTGCATCCTGAATATACAGTAAAGCTAGTCCATTGAACCAACATAGTTTCTATTCTAGCAAAAACGCATTTTATAGCAAGCAAGCAATTAAGGCAATATGATACATAACTTGCTCTGCTCTGCAGCTGAGCATTAAAAATATAAATCTGTTTATTTCCAGACTTCTCCTCTTAATATAGTCTTTCTTTCTCTCTTACCAGTAAACCCACTCATTTCACTTCCTCCCCACAGTCTTCATTTTCTCTCTGAGAATTATCCCTTTCCAAACACACTTGTTTCTCCTTGAAGTGCTCCTGGGCAGCTAGAAAACCAATTAAATGTTACAAATGAAATAATTCCCAAGATCCTCCCAGAGCTTTTTGGAAAATGTGGGCAATGGTTCTGCGGGCATAGTAGCACCTGGGAGCACTACACTGCTCTCTCTCCAGCCTATCCATTTTCTCACATCTCTTGCATATTTAGAAACCTCTTGAAATAAAACACATTTCAATTAGGTGTTTTTTTTAAAGGTCCTCTTATTACAAACTTCATTCAAGGTGCTTACCCCAGATTAATATAAACTAACCTTGGACTGCAGATTCTGGATGCTCTTTTGATAACAGTCTTATAGCTGGGAGACTGGATTGATTTTCTGCTTCAATTTCAAAATCTATTGAACCAGCCACAAATTAATTTGATTACAACAAAGTTTTATGCTCTTAGTTAAAAATCCTTCAATTTTGATTTTAAGTAGAAACAATTATTGTATGGAAATAAAATGTCAGCAAGTTACATATATGTCAATGAATATAATAACTGATCTTTCCAATATATTTCAAGAGAGCTTAATGAAAAAAGATTGTTCCATTAATTAAATTTAGTTGTTATTTATTATTATCCCAGAGGACAATATCTAAGAATTTGCATGTCCATTATAGAAACCTACCATGCATGGATGACGGGCTTGATTTGGGTTGAACATTTTGCACTGAAGCTTTCACTAGAACAAAAATGTGAGAGGAAGTAAGTGTCAACCTTCCCATTACAATAAACTGCACATATTTCTATGCAAGGTTTTTTTTTCCTGCAAAACCAGTTTCGTAATAAAGTAAAAAAAATATATTTATGGCACATTTAAACTCTTTCTTCCTTAAAATTCCCACTTACCTTCAGATAACTTTGAGTTTTCTACTGTTTTTTTTGAAGCCAGTTTTTCTATCTGAAATTACAGGGACACAAAACAATGGATAGAGATGCAGAAATGAGAATTTGCTTATACATCTTAAGCATCTGCCATTTTGAGAAAGTAAGGCTTCCAGGTAGGTGATAGGGCTTCATGCAGACAGGAAGCCAAACAATGTTTTTGCAATACCTCCTCCCTGCACAAAGTCTCCCCTCCAGACGAACTGCCCTTAATTGGTCCCAGACATAAAGACAAACACATACAGTAGATGGAAAGAAAGAAGAGACTATTCCTTGCTATAATGAGCTCCATATTGGCTCAGTATAGTACTGTCAAGCCTGGGCCGGTAGCAAAAAGGACCTTTTGTCACGGTCAGTTGCAATTATAAGTAAAGTCTCCTTCACAAACTAGTTCTGGTGACTTCCTGGCCATGAGATTTCCTGACAGTGGTCCATTGAAATTCTGGCTTCTGAATCCAGCTCCCTAAGTTTATATTACCGTTTTCTGCATATTTCCTTCCTTTTTTGTAATTCTTTGAAAAGCAATGCCCAGATACAGAACCTGTATTCACCTTTCAGCAGCCATGTTCTACTGCTAACTTGCAGCTGCCTTAGGAGCATGTAAGAACACAAAAAGAGAAGTATATAAGGATAGAAAATATTTACTTGTGTAATTACTGAAATTCCATCCATATTTTTTTATATATAAAAAAGGGCCCTTTGCTCACACTCTGGCATTTTAGAAGGGCACCATTACATGGAACAGACCTGGTGTTTCTGGATAATAATAAGATCATTCTGTTCTTGCAGCTTTTGTCCTAGTTCTTCTAGCCTCTTCTTATAGAAAATGTTGCTCATATTCAGATCCTCAGCCACTGATGCTTTAAGCTTCTCAATTTGAGATGTGAGCTGAACAGGTCAAATAGGGGAAAAGTCTATTTAACTGGAAACATTCTCTTTATCTTATGCTATATGTATCTTATTATATATTTATAATATAAAATAAAATTACTGGTTTTATTTTCTTCCTCCCAGCTTAATGTTTTTTTGTTCATAAAGGTTAAAGGCCAGAGTCTGCTCCCCCTCAGCTCTAGGAAAATAGAAATATATCCACTATGGAAAGTTAGGAGAAATAATTTAGATCTTGAACAGACTTGAACATTGGCCGCTATCTAACAAAATGAAATTCAATGGTGAAAAAAGTAAGGTTCTACATTTAGGCAAGAAAAACCAAATGCACAGGTATAGTATAGGGGGTACCTTGCTCAATAGTAGTAACTGTGAGAGGGATCTCGGAGTCCTAGTGGACAGTCATTTAAATATGAGCCAGCAATGTGTTGCAGCTGCCAAAAAGGCCAACACAGTGCTAGACTGCATTAACAGAGGGATAGAATCAAGATCACATGAAGTGTTAATACCACTCCACAATGCCTTGTTAAGGCCACAGTTGGAATACTGCATCCAGTTTTGGTCACCACGATGTAAAAAAGATGTTGAGACTCTAGAAAGAGTACAGAGAAGAGCAACAAAGATGATTAGGGGACTGCAGGCTAAAACATGTAAGGAACGGTTGCTGGAACTGGGTATGTCTAGTCTAATGAAGAAAAGGACGAGGGGGGACATGATAGCTGTGTTCCAATATCTCAGGGGCTGCCACAAAGAAGAGGGAGTCAAGCTATTTTCCAAAGTGCCTGAAGGCAGGACAAGAAGCAACAGGTGGAAACTAACCAGAGAGAAGCAACTTAGAACTAAGGAGAAACTTCCTGACAGTTAGAACAATTAACCAGTGGAACAACCTGCCTCCAGAAGCAGTAAATGCTCCAACACTGGAAGTTTTTAAGAAGAAACTGGACAGCCATTTGTCCAAAATGGTATAGGGTTTCCTGCCTGAGCAGGGGGTTGGACTAGATGATCTACAAGGTCCCTTCCAACTTTATTATTATTATTATTATTATTATTATTTACAAAACAGGCTTATTTTCTCAAGGAGTTAGATCAGACATGTCAAACACAAGGACCGGGGGCCGGATGCAGCCCGCTAAGTGGTTTCATGTGGCCCGCAAAGCCATCCTGGAAACAGTGAGGGAATGGCCCCTGCTGCCTTGGCCCTGGCCCAGGCCAGCTGGGAGGGAGCCAATGTACAATTCTATGGTGGCCATCTATGCTGAAATGCATTCAGTCTTAGCTCCACAGGGCCATCTGGAAACAGCGAGGGACCAGCCCCTGCTGCGTCAGCCCTGCCGCCTGGGTGCGTACTGGAGAGGTGTCACCCTTTGTGAAGAATGAAAAAATGCACCATCGTCTGGAAGTGGCCAGCAAATGGCCCTCGCCTACTTCAGCTATCTGGCTTGATGGGCTCCAGGGGAGGGGTTTCAGCAGGCAGTGAGGCTCCTCCAGTGGACCATGCCTTGGCACTTGCCCCGGTCCCACCCCTTTCTGCCAGAGACCCTCAGATCTGTCCCACTCCTGCCCAGGCCCCCACAGGCACCCTTGAATTGAACGATGTAGAGCTGGCCATGCCCACCCAATAGGCTACACCCACTCTGTCGACACCCACCTGGCCCCCCGAGGGCAACTGCAATGCTGATGCGGCCCTCAATGAAATTGAGTTTGACACCCCTGAGTTAGATAATCCATTAATTTATTATACTTTTGTGCTCTTTGGTATTGTTAGGCAACTTGGGGCCCTCCCAATAGCAACTAGAGAGTATCAGGGTGCCTATATTACTCAACAGGATGGTGATGACACACAGAAGATTTGTGTAGCTGTCACAATCAACCAAAACCAGACAACCGCATTATGGGCATAACAGGTTTGTATAGTTTGCAGTGGTAGCCTTTCAGAGAAAAAGACAGATATCCTGATACCAAGTGACACTTTTTACACCATTCCACATTTCTCCATTTTGTAAAACTCCTTTCCTGAGTCTCCCTTACACTGGAAGCTAGAAAAAATATGCAATGTAAGTATAAATTTTGGCAAAATTCCTAGGTTTACTTTGTTCGTGATTATCTTATAAAACATGAATATATATGTCTATCTTATAAAATATGAAAATACACAGACACAAACTTTTTCCCTAGACTTTCTATAGTTCTTTTAACTTTTGTCATATATAAAGCACTTCAGTGAGGGAAGATGTTTCTCCACTGGAATTCTTGGCTTTAGCAGTTCAAATTTCACAGAGATAAATCTGAATTTAACTGAAAAAGTTCTAAAGTAATTCTTGTCATAGCATACTTCTGCATGCTGTAGCTTATTTTTCAACAAAAGAACTGAATGTGAATAGCTTCATGTAGCTTTTCAGCATGGAAATCAGTGAAATTTTACATAATCTTAAGTGGATTTTAAATAGCCATTCTGAATGGTTTATCGTGTTTTCCTGTAATAAATATCCTATTTTTGTATTATTTATTTCTATGTAGGAAACTTTCATTCAGATTTACCTGATATGTTTCATTTTCATGTTCTTCTTGAAGAGCTTGTACCTTAGAAGACCACTTAGCTTCCTACATCAAACAAATATGATAATATGAACAATGTCTTAATTTTATATTGTTTAATTTTGTTTTATTGAAATCCAATTTATCAACTGGTGTCAAACTCACAATATAAATAAAATCCCAATATGAACTGCTGCACCAGAAAAGCAGCCATGGAGGTTAAGAGCTGTTGATACTAGCATAACATCATTATTTGTTACACTACATTAAAATATGTTGTGGCATATATTAAGAAAATAAATTTAAATGAGTTATCTGAAACTAGAACCATACTGTGAAATTACTTTTGCTTTCTGTGCCCAAGTTGATTGCCTAGATCATTTCATGTTCATGTTGGAGCTACTGAGACAGATGACTGCTTAGTTTGAGACCACAATAGACATTATGAACTAATTTAGCTTGTAATTTTATGTGATCTTAATAATGCACCTGGCTCTGAGATTCTAGAATACCTACTTATCAAAAACCAGATTCCAAGCATTTGTGGAAAACATGGGGGGGAGGGGGGATAAGGGTATCTCAGAGGTAATGGCATTAAGAAGGGGGAATCTCCATTCAGATGAAAGAAGACAAACATTTTGTCCAACCCAGGTATACCTTATGCCACATTCTAGAACAAGACATAAAGCAGAAATCATCTTTTACCAATTTAAAGCACAACTGAGTCTGAATCTGGAAGAAAATACATTAAAATAACCTGAACATTCCTGAGAGATCTAATTCTGCCTTCACTTGCCCCAGTCCCCAGCTGAATTGTAATCTCAATCATCCCCAACCAGTGTGCTCATTCTTGGCTTTAATAGGAACTGATAGAACTATGTTCAACTTACAGGGAGGTAAGGGAGGACAATATGCACATAAATTCTGTTTTCCTATTTAACCCAGATACATGGGACCTGGAGTCTGAAGTCACAGTGCCTGACATTTGTATTAAATTACCTGTTTTTCAAGAAGCTGCATTACATTCTGATGATCCATAGCAATCCGCTGTTTCTCATCTATTAATTCAGTGGTATCTTTTAAAGTGCCTAAATTGGATTTCAGATGTTGGTTGGATTTCTGTACCTCTAGCAAGTGCTAATAGGGACACAACAACAGCAATAGTACATTCAAAGTTCTCTTTGGAAATAAAAATAAGATGGCATATTCTGCTAAAAAAAAAGTTTTAAGGCAAAGTGTTTTTTGCAATCTCCACTAACCCCCATACTCAAAATCTAGCCATTTTCTTGAATTCTAATTATTTAAATAATAAGCCAGCCCACACATATAAAGTTACTTTTTAAGTTCAAAGGAATATGTACTCCATCCACAAATTCAGAATCTTTTCAGGAAAGTAATGAATGTATGGGGCAAAGAAGAAAAGAGATAGCCCTCCCAATTGAAGGAGTTTTGATGGAAGCCTTAGCAGCTGCAGATAAAAATAATCCTCAGCTTGAACACAGCAGGAATAGAGGTGCAGTGGGAAAGAAAGGAATTTGTGGCTGAAGGACAATCAGTAAGCTCAGGTTTTTATAAAGTTCTAAGCCTTTTTCAATATTTAAAATATAAATCATAATGAACTGCAACATTACTCTGTGGAGTACACCATCCAATTTCTCAGCTACTTACATTTTCTAATTCTGAATTTTTTGCTGTTAATTCTTTAAATTCCTTCATAAACATCTCTTTAACTTTCTCAAGTTCACGGGCCAATTTTTCCTTTTCTTCTTCCTTCCATTTGTGAAATAAGTGCCGAATCTCCTCCTCTTTGGATCTGCGTTCTTCATATTCCTGAAATTGAATGAAGAAGCTATTTTAAGAATTCCAGAAAATCCTTTTCTACAATTCCTGCCTGTTGATAATGATGCTTATTCTAAACCCATAAAACCTTATCATAACTTAGTGTAATATGTGGATTATAAAATATTCCAATCTAATTAGAGGATTACTGATCAATCAGAAAAAAGGTTTGTAGGAAGAAATAATGGAAATGATGGTGTATGAAAATGTATATTGTATATTCTTTTAATCTGGCTCATTGCTAGAACAAATTTTTGATAAAATCTATGGACAAGATAGACAATTCTTTGGAATTTCCCAAAGAACATAAAAAAGAGGTCCAGATTTTAAATGTAGCCACCAAGTCTAAGATAGTCAATGGTCTTTTTCCATCTACATTTCATTCTATAAAGTGTAAAAGTATTAGACAAGGCTAGTCTTGGTTTAGACTTATAATCTTAATTAGTATTATATAATTGGATGGCATCTTAAAATTGAGTTATACAGAATATGCCCTACCTTAGACAGTTTGACTATATGGGCATGTTGCTCAGCTTCTAATTGAGACCTGGTAAGTTGTAACTGCTCCTTCAGTTGGTTGATCTCCTCCTGCAGTTTATCAGTCTGTGATTTTTTCTTTTGACTTGCTTCAAAGAATGTATAACAGTGATAGTGCCTGTTAATATACTTCAGAGAAGTGCAGTTCTACTTACACATACATTTGAAGCATTACTTCTTCATGTGGATTATAATACCAAGTACTTCTCAGTACATTATCATCTAAAGGATGTTAACAGGTGCTCCTCCAAGCTACTTTAATAGTAAACATTCTATAAAAGCTACAGACTACTTTTATAATCTTTAATTCAATGTATTTTGCAAATATTAACCTGCAAGAAAGTTCCTCATTATTAACGTTTTCATTTCATTATCACTTTTTCTTCCAAATGCAATATACCCCAGACATGTTCCAGGTCAGATTGGACCCTTCTATATATTCCTGTACTACAGCTCACACCTTTTTTCACACTGAACATGCTGTTTGAGACTGCCAATAATTCAGTAACATTTAGAGGGCCACAGGTTTCCTATTCTTCTTTTTGGAATGAGGAACCGGAGGAAAGGAATAGGAATAACTCCTTCCTGAGCACAGTTGAAGTCTATCTTAATTAATAATAAATAGATGTATTATCCAATCTTAAAGCACAATCATCATGAGTGAACAAATAAAAGAAACTATATTTGGCATATTCCTTTTCAACTATTTTGACCAATTTCTCATCAGCCACAATGCTGAATAATTTTTATGACAGATGTCCTGTCAAATTGAATCCAAGACCAACACACCCTTACTCTTCCGTCTTACTTCATGAAGACTTTTCCTCTTACTTATACTGTACATATACATGCACAAAATAAGTTAATAATAACTAAGCTCCAGATGCCCTGATGATATCATAGTATATAAATAATCTGTGACACCCTCAATCAGTCTTTAATGCAAACACTTTGAATCAATTAGATCCCTTCTGCTAAAGATTCAATCCTACAGAGAAAAGCAAATACGTATAATGAATATTATGAGATGCTCTTCATAGCAACTTTTCACTCTTTTAGAAATATTAAATTGGAGACGTAGATTGCATAAATCCACATGACCATTAGATGGCAGCAAAGACTTTTTTGCAACCTAAAACTGTTAACCTAAATTTCTCTTTATCCATAAAAGCAACTGGATCTGAAAAGGCAGTTAAGCTCCTAAATATCACATATGATAATATATTTTTGAGCTAGATCCTTAATACCAACCTACTGAAATTTAAACAATTTGTTGAAAAAGTACAATACAGATAGAATGTCTTTGATTTACTTTTTTGCTTTATGCAAATACTTTTAAACTATGTCCAATTATGTCCCAGAAAATTATATCCAGTTATATCACAGAAAAAAAATTATTACCTGTTACAGTGCAGGAAAGGAAATTATGTCCAATTATCCAAAAAACAAAAAGAAAAGGAGTAATCATAACACTAGAATGAAAGTTTTAAAAGTTTTTGATTTTGGAACCACCCAGTAAGTTGACATCATCTTTATTTCCTTTTATTAATGGAATCAACCTAGAATTATTTTTTAATGTTACAATTTCATAAATGTAAAATCACCTCAGATAAAAAAGAATGTTTCATAAAACATTGCTAGGTAAATACACTTTTTAAAGCAGTGAAGATACTGATTTCATATAGATAGTTGCATATTTTATTTCACCATCCAAGACCACTTTATTCATATATTGTAAAATATATTTTTCATAAATAGTCCTGAACTTAGTCACTTAATGACTGCAGTTCTGATGGACTCCCCAAAATCTAGTTACTATCCAGCTTCAAAGTTCCAATGCATTTTAAGTGCTCCACAACCAGCCTGCATATACAGCCACTTGCACCACCTTGCAGTCACATAACTGTGATTTACAATGGCTTTGCTGAATCCTGTTTACTTCTATTTTCTAGAAAAAAAAGCCTATAGCAAACAATAGATTTGCTTAATGACCATAGTGTTTGCTTAATGATTACTGCACAAAAAGCTTGTAAAATCGGGTCAATCACGTGATGACCTGATTTACAACCATAATGACTTATGACCTTAAGTGCCAGACTCAATTACGGTTGTAAGTTGAGGATTAGCTATACCGGTAGATCTTTCCTCTGATCATAAAAATTTTTGGGAAATCATTAAAAAATAAAAAATAAATTTAAAAAAACTGAATTTAGATAATAAGTTTTATATATACACACTGTACAAAGTTCATTTGTACAACTCAACTTAATAAGGGCCCTGGTAGGTTCTCGCATATTAGCATGAAGTAGCAAATGTGTTGGATTTCCTGTCTAAACAAAGTCTCCTCCTCATTCTCTAAATAGTACCCACTGCACTTGTTTGCTTTTTTCAAACAAGAAAAATTATGGATTGGATGTCAGTTTTGAAATCTATTTATTTATTAAACACTCACCAGTGACTGGTTCTTCTGAATGGCGACGTTGCAAATGACTGTGCAAGAAGGAAGAGTTCATAAAGGCTTTGTCACAAAACTGACACTGTAAAATAAAAGTTTGGTTAAACAATATCTGTGGAACTAAGAATATTTATCTCTGTATGTTTATCTTTATCTCTGTATGATTCAATGTTTCTCATTATTTTTAATTACATAGTTTTGTTCTGAAAACAATTGCCATTTGAGCAATTTAATGGTAGTAGTATAATGCAAGGAACTCAATCCTCAACCAAAAGGACCGGAAAAGACTTTTGCTTAAAATATACAAATATTAAATTACAAATATGCTTTTAAAAGTACAATGCATATAAAGAAACTTATTTCTTCTAAGTCACTACTGGTGACAGCTAGTGGCAATACCCAGCTGATGTGAGCTAATCTTGAAAGAATCCTTTAAGGCAGTGGTTCTCAACCTTTTTAATGCCGCGACCCCCCAACCGGTTGTAAGTTGAGGACTACTCAACCGGTCGTAAGTCGAGGAGTACTCAACTGGTGCAGCACCGTTTGCAGAATGGGACTTTTGGCGGGCTCAGCAGGGCAGAGACAGCCTGAACAATTCCTATTGGCTTTTGAAAGCCAATAGAATTAGACTCTATTCAAGAGAGTCTATTCTATTGGCTTTCAAAAGCCAATAGAATAAAAGGGAGTAGCACAGCTAAGGAAAAGGGGGAAAAAATGACGGACTGCGTTGTTTGGCAACCTCCGTGAAATGGTCGTTCGACCCCAAATGGGGTCCCGACCCACAGGTTGAGAACCACTGTTTTAAGGGATGGAAATTGAATGGTGGTAGACAATTCATGCCCCATTGGTTTTATTACTTGAGCATGAGGATGCTGCAATGATCATAAGTATGAAAAGCAGTCATACCTCATTTCTTTCAGTGCCATTGTAACTTCGAATGAACGTTAAAAGTTGAGGAGTAGCTGTATATTATTATTATCATGTAGATTCAAGATAGCTTAATTCACACTATATTATGGCAGATGAAACTGAGTACTGCATTGTAGGTTTCAATTCTGCTGCAATGTACAAAGATTACAAAATAGGGGCATTATAGAACAATTCAGAAATGTCTGAAATTCTGCCAGTGGAGAAGATAAGCAAAAGTCAACAATTCTATGCAACTCTTTAAAATTTAGAGCAGAAAGAAGTGACAGATAGGATTAGCCCACTTCAACGGAATTTAATAAATTTAGGAGAATCGCATTATTGAATGTATACAGGGCAATGATTCACTTAACAACTGTGACAAGGTCATCAAATGAGGTATAACTCACTTGACAACTATTTCCCTCTCTTCAAAAATAGTCTCCAATACTTTATTATTGTTTTCCTTTGTTTACAGCATTTGTTATTCTTAGGAATGAGAGCAAAAGCAAAAGACTAATTTGTAGAGGGCTTCCTCACAGGCCAATATTCAGAATGGTACCTTATTTGATACCATCCATACTGAGTTCAAATCACCAAGCTCACAAGTAAACCTATTCAAAAAAAAAAAAAAATGGGAGGGGGAGGAGAAAGAAGATGCTGTAATCCTGCATTCATACAGACACATCAAAATCAAATGGCCTTTGAATGGACAATCATCTTTTATGTGACAGTTGTCTTGACAAGCTGGCTGCCATGGGGCATTTTTTTTTTTTTTTTTACCTCCCAGGGCTGGCCCCAAGTAACCCAAGCAAGGCCTGCTTAGCTTCCCAGCTCCACCCCAGTAGGCCACATCCCACCTCAGGGGTCCTTGGTGCTCTCAGGGCTTGCTTGTTTTCTTGCAGACATTTCATTAACTAAATTAGGTAACATCATCAGTGCTAGTAAGGAGTGAGGTTTGTTCTCTCTACGAACTGAGAGGAAACCCTACTCCTTATTTGCGCTGATGATGTTACCTAGTTTGGGTAACAAAACGTCTGCAAGGAAACAAGCAAGCTGAGAGAGCAGCAAGGACCCCTCACATCAATCCTTGAGCTACAAATATTCTCATTTGTTAAAATATCCCACCTCCCCAAACCCATTACTAGCGTCCCATTGCGATCGGAATAGCACACCTTCCCGGTCAGCCCACCTGGTGATAGGTGGCCCCGGCCTGGAGCACCATCTGCTGAGTGGCGATCATCTTCTTGCGGCGTTTGCATTCCTCCTTGAGCAACTGGATCTGCTGTGCTCCGCGGGCCACATCCTTGGCCAGCAGGTCCCGGTGGGCATCGGCGGAGCGGAGCAGTTCCTGCCCGGCGCGGACCTGGGCACTGAGGTAATCCTGGGAGTGGAGGAGGTACTCGAGGCAAAGCTGAGCCAGACGCAGGAGCTTGAGCAGCAGCGGGTCGGCGGGGCCCCGGCAGTGCGGGCAGCGCTCGCGGCCGGCGTTGCAGAAGGTGACGTGCTCCAGGTGCTCCTGCAGCACCGCCACGTTCACCTCGGCCGCCACGCGGTCCACCTCCACCGCACTCAGCCGACGCCAGTCCGGGCCCTCGTGTCTCGGACGGAATTGGAACGGGGGCAGGACCGCCCCGGGCGGCGGGGAGGTCGCTGTCGCCATCCGAGCCAGCGGCTCCGCCTGTTGGGACAGAAAGAAATGGGGGTCCCGCACCGCCACCTGCCGGGGATGACTTCGCCGGCCTGGCGGGCGCCGCATGATGTCTCCCCGTTGCCGCGGCAACCGAGGCGGCGTTGCCGGAGTATCACGCGCGAGGAGAGGGTCCCGGCAAACCGCCCACGAACGTCTCCCCCGACCCTCGGCGAATGCATTTTTCCCGCCATGATAGCCTTCCTCTCCTTTTCAGCTCCTGCCAGTGGGCGGGTCCCGCACTGCCTCCCAGTTTTTCTCTAGAGGAGGGTTTCTCAATCTCAGGCGCTTGAAGGCGTCTGTGAAGGCCACGCGCCTTCAAACGCCCGTGGGTGAGGAACGTTGCCTCGGACACGGAGCTTCGCTTTCAGCTCCTCGCTGCCAAGCCGGGCTGAGGAAACCTGGAGGCCCGCTGGATGGCAAGGGAATGAGGCAGGAAAGTCCCTGCTGCCTTTTTATCCGGATTGTCAGGGATCCAGACTGTTAGGGGCTCCAGGTAGGCTTTGGTTGGCCTACCTGGCAGAGAGAAAAAAAATCACACAGATTTAATCGTTTTACCAACTCCCTGTCATAAAAATAAATTCCGTTGCATTAGAGCAGAGTAGTTTATTCCTTGGCCACCTAAAGTGTCCCAACTAGGAGGAATCATTGGTCTCTACTTAAAAGATTTGAATCATATGCAAGCAAAATTGCCAGTTTCAGTTTTGGCACATCCAAAAGGGTAAAAAGAATAAATAAAAGCAGTAAATTTTTTGTTGCCCACTGAGACTTCAAGAAAAAGAAGGCGCAGAGGAGTTGAATTCAAGCAAACTCTTAATCCTAGTTTCAGGGAGATTATCATTGGATTTAATTGTTTTTGGAAGCATCACTCTTACTGTAAGCACCCATTTTGCACTTGCAACCTTATAATCTCTCCTAATTTCTGAAGCACATAATAACATAGCATTTAACATATAATAAGAATCTAATAATCTTTCAATCCAATAGCAGACAATGTTTAAGATGCAGTCATATATATTGTGACCTGGAAAAACGTTGTCACTGATATAAAAACAAGCTTCCTATGACTCCCTACTTCCCTCCCTTGCTTTGCATTTCCAACACTTTTGTCCAAATTAACACAAGGAAAATAGTTGGCTAATTTGGATTTAACTCGTGACTGTCCTCAGTGATCCAGTCCCTTAGTCATAGTTTGCTAATAAACCAGTTGCCTTTAATTGTGAGAGAAGATTTCAGCATAATAGAATATAAATAAAATCGTCTTTCAGCCCCTGACTTCAATACGATTCGCTGTTATTACAGTCATATACATACAAATATGTAAGTTACTTATATACAGATATTCACACAATTCTATCTCTGACAAGTGAATTGCAATCCCATAACAGTGCATGCCCCTAAAAAAAAAGGGGGCGGGAACCACAATACTATTTTTATCCAATAAAAGCTCACGTCAAAAATGCCAAATGAATATTCACACAATATGCAGCTCAGTCTGCACGGTGTATTGCTCTAATCACGATGCAAAAAAGGCACCGCGATTCGAAGCATTCCTTTCCCGCTAAGTTTGGAAAGCGAAGCAAGCCAGCGAGGACGTGGTCGAAATCAAGCTTTATCCCCAAAGCCAAGTCCTATTGCAAAAGAAGACCCGGCGAGAGGGAGGCGAGAGCCGGGGTTTCCCAGGCTTTTAGAGAAGAAGCAACCGGGTTTCCCGCCACTCCCGCTTCTCTCCTGGGCTCGCACTCCCAAAGCGTTTCTTCGGGTGGGACTGCAGAGCTGGGACAGGCTCCCTCTGCTGGATGAGATGCGGGAAGATCCCGTCAAGAAGAAAGGAGCTCTGCAAGGGATCGGCCGGCGGCAGGGCCGGGGTAATAGACACCACCACCCCCGCGAGTTGGTCGCCAGCATTGAGCGGTTCCCCTTCCCCGTATGCGGCTATTCACCCGGGGTATCCCCTTTCGCTGGGATCTCGGCTCGCTCGCCTCACCTGGATCAGCCGACGTTCCAGAGAAGCGGCTTCCTCGGCTCCCCAACCCCGCCTCCTGCTCTTGCGCATCCCCCGTCTTAAGATGCTCGGGCGTTCCGCGATTCCGCCTGTCTTTCCCCCTTCCTCTCGTTCCTCCAATCCGATTATCCCCAGGCGGGGAGGAGCAAGCGGAGGTTTTGTTCTCGTGGCCGGGAGAAAGACCGGTACGTAGAAGAATAAAGCAGTCTCTTCTGTTCCCCCAGGAGTAAAATTCCAGAAGTGTGGCTGAGACTAACTTGGGATCCGCCGTTCATTAGCGAGGAAGCAAAGCGCGGCCAGCTGCATGGTACGGATTTGTAGAATTGGCTTTATGCTGAAGCCACTTCTGTGCAAACGCGTCCCAAATGAATCGGTGCCTAGAAGGGACAGCAGACATGTCAAACACAAGGCCCAGGGCTGGATGCGGCCCGTGAAGTGGTTTCATGTGGCCCGCGAAGCCATCCTGGAAACAGTGAGAGAACGGCCCCTGCTGCCTTGGCCCGGGCCTCCCAGGAGCCAATATACAATTTTGTGGTGGTCATCTATGCTGAAGCGCATTCAGTCTTAATTTCACAAGGCCTCTGGAAACAGCAAGGGACTGACCCCTGCCATGTTGGCCCCACCCCCTGGGTGCATGCTGGGGAGGTGTCACCCTTTGTGAGGAATGAAGAAATGCACCATCGCTTGGAAGTGGCCAGCAAATGGCCCTCACCTACTCTTCTGGTGGACCATGCCTTGGTGCTTGCCCCGGTCCCATTTCCTTCTGCCAGAGCCCTCAGATCTGTCCCACTCCTGCCCAGGACCCCACAGGCACCCTTGATGCAAATGATGAAGAGCTGGCCATGCCCACCCAGTAGGCCATGCCCACCCAGTAGGCTGCACCCACCCTGGCCACACCTACCTTTCCCCTCCCGAGGACAACCACAATGCTGATGCGGCCCTCAGTGAAATTGAGTTTGACACCCCTGTGGTAGAGTCTGAACCCACGCTGTTCATGAAGGCTCGCCTTTTGGGGCAACCGTGCAGAAAGGATCTAAATTTCCCTTTTTCTGCATCGTCTGACCCACAGGCTGTAGAGGCCTCAGCCAAATATTGTCTAAGTCAGACACTGCTCAGCTTCTGAGCTCAGACAGGCTGCCCACGGGATGCATCAGCAGGATCGGGAAGGGCTCTGAATGCAGGGTTACAGCCACCATCTTGACCAGTGGTGGCGAACCTATGGCACAGGTGCCAGAGGCAGCACTCAGAGCCCTCTCTGTGGGCACGCGTGCCGTCGCCCCAGTCCTAGGCCTTCAGCTGGGTTTTATAAAACCTTTTCGCTTTAGGCCTTTGCTGCCGTGTACAAAAAAAAGGTTCAATCAGTCAATTTCAACTTCTTGTGGGAAAAAAAAATCTTGCAAAGTTGGAATTGATTGATTGAACGTTTTAGTCCCATCCAGTCTGCTGTTACCACCGCAGCCATGCCCACCCAATGGGCCACACCCACCTGGCACCCAATGATACATAAGTGGGTTTTGGGTTGCAGTTTGGGCACTCAGTCTCTAAAAGGTTCGCCATCACTGATCTTGACAATACTGAAGCCCACACACATCCCTGGATTATAAGAGATAGCTATGCTGTTGTGTGCAAGCATGGGGGGAGTTCTAATGATATCAGTTTGGTCAGGCTGTAATTAAAGGGAAGTGGTGCATAGATGGAGGAACCTCTCCAACATTAAGCCAGCCACTTTTTCTGGTTTTATGTGTATTGCATGGAGGCATGAGTAAAGAACAGGAGTGCGAGCCTAGAATAATATAAATAAGTGGTCCTTGATTTAGGACCACAACTGAGCCCAAAATTTATGTTGCTAAGTAAGACAGGTGTTAAGTGAGGTGCCCCATTTTATGACCTTTTTGCCATGGCTGTTAAGCAAATCACTGCAGTTGTTAAGTGGACATATGGTTCTTAAGTGAATCAGGCTTCCCCCACTGATCTTGCTTGTTGGAAGCTGGCTGGGAAGATTACAAATGGTGATCACATGATCCTAGGACAATGCAGCTGTCATAAATGTATGCCAGTTGCCAAGTGCCTAAATTTTGGGGGGGGGAGGGTATGAATTTTTATTTATTTCCAAGGTTAAAATACAAATCAAGAAAAAAATACAATACAAAAACAGAATGAAAGAAAGAAAAAAGTGTATACACACAAAACATAAATTATGCACACAAAATGTCTCCCTGGTTGAATATTGCTAAAGTATATTCCAGTGACAACAACCCCCCCCCCTTGCAAAACAAGTCCACATCAATATACAGTATGAAAAATTGCTATATAGCAACAAATGAATGTTGAAATAAATCAACCACACCTTGATTTCTTAGGCATCAGTGAACTAAGACAGAGTGGAACTGGATACTTTCAGAAAGAACTACATGGACACAAACTGCAAACCCTTTCATAGCCAGAAAATGTATTGCAAGAACAGTTGTTGAGTTCAGTGTGGCCAGTGGCCGAAATGTAAGGTCCTAGGCCCTTAATTAAATTTGAGACATCATTAAAAGTCTAATCAGACAACTCAAACAGAGGCTTCTTGAGGAAACAGTGCTTTAATTGATCAAATAAAACAGCTGGGTGGCAAACAATCTGGAATGCTGGCAGAGTTACGTCCAAAAATGCCACACCTTAGAAAGTTACAAGCATTGCTTTATAAACTTTTGTTAGCCAAAGTTTACATTATAAGGAAGACATCAATCATTCCTGTAGGAGTGAGCTATTCTCTCCTTCAGTACATCCCATCCATGTACATGTTTCCCACACTTGCATGAAATTTGTCCCTGACGCAAACGCTGATTACAAAAGCAAGATAGCAATAGGCTAAACTATTCCTTTTTGTTCCAGTTACAGAACCCTTCAGAATAATACTAGTTGGACTTGAAAGCACATAATCAGTTGTCATAATTTTTTAGCTCAGCCCCTCAGATTATGCCAAATTTTCTGATATGGAAGAGGATAGTGGTGGCTTCTTCCAGAGCACCTCATCACCATTCTCTTGGGTCATCACATGTTCTCCTCCTGCACCTCTCCGCAAGCCTGCTGTCTTCATGTCCTGTCTTAAAGGATACTGGCCCATTTCCTTTATTAAAATAGCTAGACAACCTATGGCCCATTGGGTCACTGTTTCAGAAATATTTCCTTACCTAACACTTATAAACCCTTGTACAATTTCAACAACACTTGCTGCACCTCCTTGCACCGTTGAACCCCTCTACACAATCTCCCCAGCCCTATATGGCATCTCTTGAGCAAACCTTAAAGAGAGATCCAACCTAGAACTAAAGAGAAGTTTCCCGACAGTGATAACAGTTAATCAGCAGAATGGTTTATCTCCAGAAGTAGTACCGTAAATGCCGGCGTACAAGGCGACCTGGCGTATAAGACGACCCCCGTCTTTATAGCCGGGCCACATTCCTAGAACGTCGTCTTATACACCGGAAACTACCAGCATTTCCGGTGTATAAGACGACTCGGCATATAAGACGACCCCCGTCTTTGGCGCTGATTTCAGCGCTCGCGGAAGTCACCTTATACGCCGGCATTTACGGTAGGTGTTTCATCAATGGAGGTTTTTAAGAAGAAACTGGACAGCCACTTGTCTGGAATGGTATAAGGTCCCCTGCTTGAGGATAATAGGAACCAACCCTATTATTCTATGTTATGTTTTCTAAGCAACAGTCTTAAGATGTTGGAATTGTTTGCACACAAGCAATGTGGCTTCCATCTGGTATGGAACTGATATCACACCGCTCTGAAGACTCTGAAAGCTCATTGGAAAAAGAAAGAAACAAGTAACTGACAAATTCCACTGCTTGTCCTTACATCACATTTCTTCTTCTGTTCCTGAGAGGGTAAGAGATCTTTATATTTTATCTTTTTGGCATCCCTATGATGTAGAGCAGACCAAGAAACAGATGCTAGGAAAGTCTAACACTGTTTTTATTAAGATGGAGTACTGCGACAGAACCTTGCAAGTATGTTTATGATTGCATCTTCCCTTTTTATATTCTTGTGGGTTACAAAGGTACCTAAGATGTTTACGCATTCCTTCTTCCCATTTTAGATTGAAGCCATGTTTAGTTACTCTCCGCTTTATTAGCAGATCTTTCCTCTCTATCAATATCATCTTCTTTACTCTATACTCTCCTCTTTCAGCTTCTCTATATATGGGATTTGATCTGCACTATTATTATTATTATTATTATTATTATTATTATTATTTATCATAGGGAATAAAATACAAAACATAAAACAAACAAAATGAAACAAGACAAAAGAATATATTCAACCCTAACAACAACAACAAAGAAAATAGGTGTACAAAAAAGAGGAAAAAGTCATCAATTAAATTTAACATTAGGCTGGATGCTGAAAGAAAAGGCAGTAAATTCTCCTCCCCTTTTACAATCTTGATTTGTAGTTCAAGATATATTTGATTCATCTCTTACTGTGTGGATATAACTTTATTTTTCCCATATAAAGTTATTATTAATCCAAAGGGAAATGTCCAGCTATATATTTTTCTAGACTTTTAAATTAAGGTGTTAAACTGATGCCTTTTTCTGAAGAGTTTCAGTTGATATATCTTAAAATATACTGCTCAAAAAAATAAAGGGAACACAAACGTATAGGATCCTATACGTTTGTGTTCCCTTTATTTTTTTGAGCAGTATATTTGGGCTCCATCTTAACCACAATATATGTTTTCAATTGTTCTAGCCTTTGCATAGCATTTATAACATAATAGTGTGAAAACTTAATAATAATAATGGCTCTAGTTTTTTTAATTACCTATAGTGTCCTATTTGGTTCACACTTTTCATGTCTTCAGGACCAACAGTAATCTCTGGTAATAACTAATTTAGCCGACTTACCTGAAAAAATATAGCCTGTCAGCATAATTCTTTTTAACCTAAAGTTGTAATAGCAGTTGGCATTCTGTAGATACTATACAGTAATATTTCACATATATCTTAAGACTCTCTTTTCATTACCCAAATTGTGTATGAATTCCATTCAATAACTTAAAAGTTTTATTTGTAGCCTCACCAAGATTACTACAGAAAAGGATTACTTGGGGATTTCTTCTTGCAATGATTTAATTACTTTTGATCAATTAGTTAAACTTTTTTCAACTCAACAGATATTTATTTCTACTGGTGAAAAAGAGATAGATTCATCACCTTCTTTGTGTTGAAAACTTCGTGATTGATTATTCCTACTCATCTGAGGTCTCTGAAGAAAGACAGGTACTACTGTATCTGCTTTCATTTTAGAAAACTAGGATGGTAATATTTTTAAAATCAGTTGTTTTCTGGTAGAGACCC